TTGTTCCAGAATAAACAGGACCGTGAGTATGAGGCATGATTTCCATCACAGTTGACGCAGTGCACCAGTCCTTTGCAGGTGTCTTAAGTGGGACCCGAAACTCCACTATGTGCAAAAGTATGTCGGCCACGGCATCTTTGCGAGCTGTGGCCATATCTTTGACATTGAAAACACCGTCGAGGGTTAGGTATGTATGGTCGAACCTGGAGCTTTGTGTACCCAGCCGGTTTTAAGAAGCTAGTCTTAAGAAACCTTGTCTTAAGAAACCTAGTCTCTGGTTCGCTTTCAACAAGCACACATTGTCTATGTGTGTATGCCATGCCAAATTTTGAGTAAGAGTGACTCCTAACTATTCAAATTTGTTAGCATGGAGGGGTAACTTCCCGTCAATACAATATTGAAGGAGTATAACACCTGTTTTTTAGTCATACGTGTATATGTCGATTTCTTGTAGTTTACTTTCATCCCCTATAAGTCGCACCATCGGCTGAATTTTTCCGAACAATTACTAATTCTAACTTGATCGTGCTTGCTCGTTACAGTAAAATAAATTAAGCAGTCATCTGCAAAAAGTTTTACTTGTACAGGGTGTTCAACCACTGAAAAGATATCATTGATATACGGTATATCAGAAATAACAAAGGGCCCAATACCGAACTCTGGGGAACACTCGAGAACACTTGGAGTGGTCGTGACGAGCTGTCATTTAAATGTACTGTCCTATCATATCGATACTATCAATACTGAAATTCGATGGTTTCCTGCTCATATGGGACAAGTGGACGAAACTCAGGTCAACCTCAATGAGGTGACGAATGACCTGGCACGAGGACTCGCTTGCCATGCCGGTCAGACCCGATCCGATGCCCACTACCATTCCGGGGGCTATAAAGATAAGTTAATCACTTACAACGACATCACAAATTATTATTACTTGAGGCATACGCAATTCCAACTACCACATGCAAAATTGAACAGGGCTCAGGCAGTCACGCTACGTTTACTGCAACCCGAAACTTACCAAACTCCGTATTTTCTACGAAAAATTCTTCCTGACAGTGAAATTGAAGACAAGTGTAACGAGTGCGATGGCATCATTGGGATCAGACACATGCTGGCGGGCTGTCCCGCGACTCTCGCCGACCCCGAAGAACAATGGCTTTACTGGAAGATGATGGTGCGAAGCGCATCTTATCAAGACCAACTACGGACAGTCAGAAGGTCCACGATGACGCCACAAGGCTCAGCCTAATGGTACCGACCTGGACACGGCCCGCCTCGGTCTGAAAAGACCGGGCTTCAGGACACAAATAAAGTTTTGTGAATGAATGAATAAACAGCCATGGCAATTCATGCTAGTCTTCTAGGGAAGAATACATTTCCCGCCTGGCCCAGTCTCGCCATCAAGCTGGCATCAATACTGAAGCGAGACAGCATGAGCGGAAGATAATCTATGATGCATCCAATCACGTTGCGTCTTCCCCCTCGTGAAGAGGTGCTGCTTTCGACACCAATTTGCACTGCTGGTCTATGTGACAAATTCCAACCGCGCTTCATCAGGCAATACATAGGTTTAGATCTGACTCCGCCGTTCAATTATCGTGCGACACCACTTCTCACCCCAAGAGACCACCGTCACTGCAGCACCGATTGCCCATGTTTCTCGCATGAAACCATTCACGCGACATTCCTCGTCACTTTGAATTACGGCGGCCAGGGTGTCCGCTTCCCATGCAGGGCGAATTAGTGCTGGGTGTTTGTTAGTTACATCGTCCTAAACCCTGCATGATCATAATCACCATCATCGCCTTGTCTCTTTGTCCTCATGGCCACTCTATGTCATCATCATCGTCATCATGTGCAGGCTCTGCCCGTTCGTTTTGCGAGGTCTCGCCTAGAATAAACGCTGTCGCAACCAAGACTTCATAATATGCTTTATTAGAATCTCTTCACCATCTTGCTTCATCTTAATTCTCTGGACATTGATTCCATTCTCTTCTTTCCCGTGGTCAAGAAGTTCAGCATCTGTCAAGTCAAGTAGGTCATCCTCCGACACGGCTCCTTGGACAGTGTTCATCGAACGATGTGCTGAAACAGTGACGGGGACATCACCAAAAGTATTCAAGCTGGATAGTTTTTCATATTGTTCCTTGTCTCAGACTTCAATAAAGAGGTCTCCACTGGCCATTTTCATTGCTTTGTAGCCTGTTCCAATTGTGCTTATTAGGCCACTTGAAACTAGAATTGGGGAAAGTTTTCTGACAGGTTTTGCCGATGTGTCACTATGGATAACGTGGTAGCGTGGAAAGTTGTTTTTGTTAAGTTGGAATAGTTGAAAGCTTGCTTTGGTGCGCGCCCTCTTCAGGGAGCCATCAATAGAGAGTTGGAAGTTTTTCGCCATAATATATAGATTGTGTTCACTGGCAGTGTTAGCCACCCACCACCGAGCCCAACAAGGGGATGCTGCAAGACGTAAAGAAAATTGCTTGCATACGCCAGCTGTACACGGCCACTACAACCTGATGTGATGCATTCCAAGGTGGAGTGAACACACGAGGTTAACCCTTGCTGCCAGGACGAACCGGAAGTACATAAACAAAAAAAAGAAGTAGACAGGACAGGCAAAAAGTGAGAGATAAAGACGAAGATGTAGAGAGAAAGAGATAGGAAAAGGCGACTGCCATTTTTCCCTGGATGGGTCAGCCCAGGGGTGCAGTCCATGTAAAGCCGGGTCTAAAGGGGTGTGTTGTCTTTGCCGGGGGGCCTTAAAGCTTTAGTCCAATCACCCGGCGGCGGCTCAACCACCAGGATTCCCTTTTCCCTGGACACGGCAAAGCCACACACGGCTAGGCGTGGGAGGGAGTAGAAAAGCCCCCGTTAGCTCGGGTACCTAGTGTCGCTACACACCAAACGCCTGCTTACGCAGACGCCCCTGCAGGGCCTAGAAAAAGAATGTATTCATCCAATCAGCACACCATAATAAAATTATCCAAACAAGCTTTGTTGGGCAATAATACACCATTTTCAATGTGATTTCCCCGTTGCAAAGGCTCCTTCAAAGTCAACTACTGTGACGATCCGCTGGATGTCGGGAACACGGTCGGAATAGCAGCTATTAAGACTTCTCATGAGATGTGGCAACAGGATGGTGTCTGCCTAGCTTGCATCACAGCTCATACTGCTTTAATGTAGCCTTGGCATACTTTTTTTTTCCAGACCCAGTCTTTGTGGCGACACACTGCACACAAACCGGTGCAGCCTCTGCCTCATCACCAGCTAGTCGTGCGTGACACTGCCACATGCTGCCACATGCCTCTGATAACGAACAGCACCACCGCAGCTTCACCGGAGGCTCACCGACGTTGGCTGTAAACTAAAGTTGCCAAGTTCGAAAGATTTATTCCTTGGCTAGCATGCTTCATGATCGTTGTGATAAAAATCGTGATGCGGCCTACCTCATAAAACACAGAGCAAAAAACAATGACCACTCTACGCTTGCAAAAACAAATAACAAACAAGGATGCAATGCAATCATACAGTTAAACCTAAATGTAACGGAATTGATAAATTCCCTAAAAAATTTGTTATCAAGAGGATTTCGTTATATGCAGGTTTGGTACAAAAATTCAAAAAATAAACCCACAAATTAAACAAAAGGCGAACTGAAGGCAGAGTTAACCTAAGACATTTATTTTACAGTAAAAAACTGCGTTATTATTGCGATAGCATTTATATGAACACTCTTGGTGGGTTTTTGCTGTCGCTGCCATGTTCCATACCAAGTCCCAGTGGATAACATGCCCTCGCGCAATGTAACTTTCACGAGCGGGTAAAAGTGCGCGAGCGCTGCTGAAGCACAGATGAAATAATTCAGTCCATCCCTATCAACTGAAAAGCACATAACTCTCGCGTGTTAGAACTACCGTCGAATGCTCAAACAGAAAGTAAACCACTTGTCTTAAATGAGCGTGAAACAACAAAGGGAGGGGGGGGGATAGCTCGAGTAGCATTAATGAACTTGGACTTTAAGGGCGGTCGCGATCACTGGGGCACTTGCTATCTCGGCGAGTATGAGTGCAGTGTTAATGCGAAGGAACTGTGTGAAAAGAGCGAAGTGATCTTCGTGCAACTGGCAAGCGCAATCGTTTCAGACAAAGTCGAAGGCGATTCTTCTCCCCATCGAAGGATAAACGCGCGCGCACAAGCATCTACCCCCCCCCCCCCCCCCCCCCCCCGCATTCACGGGGCAAAGTACACGTGAGAAATAAGACACGTCGACACATCATAACGAGCTGGGCACCGAGTGTGGGTGGCTTTTTTTCTTTCTCTCTTCAGTTTTCAAGTATATAAGTACGTATACATATAGGGTGAGTGAAGGGAAAAACAAACACCCAAGACTGTCCATATACATAATTGCAATAAAAAAGAAATAAAAAAAGCAAAGCTGAACGTTGTCAGGGGACACACCATGCACGCGCAGTGAAACTATGCACGTGCGCACTGCGTCGAAAACTAAATGCGAATGACACAGAGAGAGACACCGACATGGAGGGAGGGAAGCACATCCACGCGTGCTGCCGCGGTGGCAAGAACGGCGGCAACGCCGACTCGTAGGGTGTAAGTCTGCCTGCCCGCCTCACGCTCACCCGCGCGCAATAACGAGCGCTCGCTCTCGCCTTGTGCGCTGTGCGCGCTCCCGCCGCTTCGCGCTTTTTCGGTGGCAGGGCACCCCGCGGAAGATGCATCCTCGTAGCAAAATGGCAAAATGCGGAGCGAAATTCCTAGGTTGCCCTTTGAAAAGTTCGTTATATCAAGATTGTCTCCCGCAGTTACTTTGTTACATAGAGGTCGCAAATACATGTGCTTCTATGGAGCAACGGTGGGGAATAGAAAAACTTTGTTATATCGAGAATTCGTTATATGGAGGTTCGTTATAAGCAGGTTTAACAGTATTATGCTTTCAGCAGTGGAGAATGCAGTTTTCTATTAAACACACATACCTTGAGATTTGGTGGAAGAACCAACCACTGCAGTGCCCCAACATCAACCTGCGAGTGCCAAGCAATGAAGGTCAGAACCACAATGCGTTGGACTAATCTCAAAAAAGTGTGCCATGACTCTACAAAACAGTCTCCTCAGGGAGCAGCAACAAAAACTTCAAGGACGCTTGAGTTGCACTTGCAAAATTAGAATGTGGCAATGTAACTGGGCTTCGTTGTTCCTCATTCCCCAACCAACCATTCCCCCTTACCCAGTGGGCACCTCAAACTTGCCTCAGTGAAAAGAATGTCTGGACTGTAACAGCGGCTGTTTAAAGCTATCATACAATGCCTACTGCAACTGCAGCTACAAAGTACCTATTATGGCATAATTTAAAATCTTACAACTTCGCAAAGGACGAACTACATGTCGATAAAGCTACACGCACAGATATACAACTACATGCCTTGTTGATGGTATTGCTGCTGATAATTACTGATAATGCCTGAGCACTTTTTTGTAGGAATCTTTCACAATGCTAAGAGGCTGCTATGTTACCCATGTCTTAATAACCTCCAGAAGAATATTTTCATCGTGCTTTCAAAAGGTGGCAGTAGTGACACAAGCTACTTCAAAAAAGAAAGGGCTCCAGAATTAAATAAGTAAATAAAGAAATAAATGCAACAGAGCCATTCAAAATGTTAGCTAATTATCCAGTTTGCCCTATTCTTTAAAAGGCGATTTGAAGACCTTGTCACAAAGTGTTTTTGGGACACTGTGCTTTTAGTCAATCTATAATTGCCAGAACAAAATCCCATGCAAAAGGGGTCAGTTTTTCGGTAAGCCCAAATAAGTATATTTCTGCATGGAAGTATTTTTTGATATCATACACCTGACATGATATATCATATTGCCACGTGCGTTTTTTATTTTCAATTTTGTTTCATTCGATTTTCACACATAAAGACTGTCAGGAATGCTCAGTGCAAACTCGAATTTTTCATATATCGAACTAATCCACGATATCTTTTGAGTTCGATATATCCATGTTCGACAGTACTTCAGTACTGCCAAGCATAGTACAGTATTGGTGAAGAGGCGGAGAAGCCAGCGCCCTTCTGCCCTGGTGAGGCCTTTATAGAGACCATGGGATGAGAGGATTATAGAAGAAAAGTGATCTCTCTAAAAATATGGCCAGATTGAAATCGGGTTCCGGAGCTGCCTGCGGATGAGGTAATGCCCGGTAAGTAAGCACACGGGTAGCAGTATCAGCTGTCTGGTTTCCTTTGAGATCCGCATGAGCCAGAGTCCATACGATGATAACCAGAGTACTCACAAGCATGAAAAATTTTCAATGCACAGTACGAAATATACCCTGCTTCTATATTGCGGTAGCCACCCTTAGAGTCCCTGATAATGACCAAGGAGTCTGGATCTGCAGCAGCAAAAACAATGGCAATCTCGTCCGCAAATGTGATGGTTTGAGGCACAGAAAGTGAGGCTTCAAAAAAACTTCCAGCCAATAAAATGACGAACAACGGCAACAAAGAAGGAGACAGGAAAGCGGCTCCTTCTTCGTTTCTTGTGTTCGATATTTTATTGGTTGGAAGTCTTTTCTGAAGCAATGCACCTACTATCCCAACAACGCAACGCGAGTTATTAGAAAGTGAGGCCTTGATCTGTAGTGTTTCGGTGGATAGCACCTTCCACACCCATGGTGCAGGACGGCAACATCTACATAGAAGACACCTGGCCCTATAGCTTTGAGATAGCCTCTGCCCGTGCTAAGCAGTGACTATCACGGGTGTCCTTAGTCATGTTGTTCGGAAAGATCACACTTAAGAGTGCAAAGCGCCAAACTTCAGGAATGCAGACCCGCTCTTTCGTCTGCGTAACAATCAAAATAAAACCTCGTTAGCTCAAAGTCACAAGAAATATTTCGATTAGATGGGTTTTCGAATTAACAGAACATTCAAAAAGTTGGATGCAATAAACTTGGAATTATTCAAAGTACAGTCAAACCTCCTCAGTGCGTACCCATTTTAAGCGTACTAACAGTTAAAACGTGGTTGTGACAAATCACCGACCGAGTCTCATAGAGACTAATTCATTCGCAGACCGCTTAGGCTGTAGTGTTTGGCCTATGCCTACCGGTTAAAGCATACTAACTGCGAACAGCGATAACATTTTGTGTAACAAAAGTTTACTGCTCCGCTGAAATTCGCAGACGCTACAATGTGCCGTGAACGGTTTTCAGTCATTTTGATAAGTGCGGAGATCAGCCGATAAATTATTTCGACTTCCGAGCGAGGCGATGACATTGCGAGTAACCATCCAGGAAAAAACGAAGGCGAGGTAGCGACGACCGACAAATGCGCCGTATGACTTATCTACGACGAAAAGCCGTATCACAGTAAACATCCCCTGTTATCTGCTCAAGCATGCGTGTGGCGTACCGTCACTTTAGGCCTACTGCACGCTTTTAGTAGGCGACTACTTCAACGCGCTGGGCCGCCGATCACTGCCGCTTTGTTTTGTGGGACAGTGCTCAAGCGCACACCGCTTTACAGAAAAGCAAGCAGCTCACTGTCGCGGAGTTTAGCATTGCGGATCACAGGCACCGAAAAACCTTGCTGAATTATGCCTAAACCACCACCGTACAGCGAGCGAAGCGCTGTTGTTACCATGCTGCATGCTTTTATTTAGCGACAACCCAAATGGGCCTTCGTCGGCTGCTAGGACTGCTAGAGCATTGCACAGAGCACATTACTTGCGGAAAGCTCTTCGTCGCCACATTAACCCAGCAGGCTACTCGCCCAATCTGTGCACGGCCTGAAGTGGAGAGGGTGTACTCAACAGCAAGCGGATCGGCAGTCACGGTGTGCGCAGAGTGAGCGAAGCGCTGCACGCAACTAGCCATGCAGTAAAAGGTTTCGCTCTCTGTGACTGTACAGTGGTTAGAAAAAGAAAACGACATCAGTTTTTGCTTAGAAGCAGACCGCGGAACACGTGTATCACGGACAGCTGATTGTGTTCGTTCTGTCGCTGTACCACGCTGCGGATCCCGAATCCCACGGCAGTTTCGAAATGCTCCTCGGTGTCGCCACCGCGTGCTATTGGGCTGCTGTGTAAAAATCACACTTTTCTGTACTTTGGCTAAAAGAAAGCATTGGCTTTGCGGGGGGCATTTCAGGCAATATTTCCAATGGCACCGAGTTTCTTTCATTGTCGGCGGCGATGCCGCATGCCACGAGATGCAAATTTGTAGCTGGTAGTTAATGCGTAGTATGTTTAGTGCTTAGTTACGCCGTTGTCCCTGGCAGGTATTAACGGAGTGTTACAATGTTAGCTCAAATGCAGTGCCCCCACGCGGCACTGATAGTTGTGTTGAGCTGTGCAAGCCTGGCACAGCGGGGGGTGGCAGTTTTGGAAAAAATAAAGACAGTTTGTTCTGGGCAAAGGGCTCAACATGTTCTCATGTTTTTCGCGGGCCTGATGGCCTACTGTTCACGGTAGGCACTACCGCCCAGCCATCCGTTAATCTACACATGTAACAACTGGCCACGAGGATGAAAGGAAGTTCCATGTAAGTCTTCGTTCCCGCACCTTTCACCATGCTTTCAGCAACATCGAGCTGTTCAAGGGGGGAGGAGATGACTGGCCGAGTTACGTGGACCGGCTCCAAGCATTTTTCCTGGGGAATGATGTCGCCCCAGAGAAGCATACGGTTGTGTTCATCAGCTGCTGCGAGCAGAAAAAGTATGCTTTGCTCCGCAATTTGGTCAAGCCCGCTAAGCCCAGTGACAAGTCGCTGGACAACATTATTCAAGTTCTTTGAAGCCATTACTGTCCGAAGCCCTCTGCCATCGTGCAGCGTTTTCGTTTCAACTCGCGCGTTCGCGCGGAAGGGGAATTGGTCAGCAATTTCATCGCAGCACTAAAGAGCCTGTCCGAGAACTGCGACTTTGGGGCTGAACTCGAAAACATGCACCGTGACCACATCGTGTGTGGCATAAACAACGTGGATGTCCAGACAAAACTTCTGGAAAAACCAGACCTCACCTTCGAAGATGCCTTGCAGATTGCCCTGGCAATGGAAGCAGCAAAAAAGGACGCAGGTGAGATAGCACAAGCGAACACAAGCAGCGCTTTCTCGACTAACCATGTCTCGTCAGGTTCTGGGGGCGTCACCTGCTACCGCTGCGGGGACGGACATCTTGCATCAAAATGCAAGCATGTGAAGACAATCTGCAATTACTGCCACAAACGAGGTCATTTGGCAAAGGTGTGCAATTTGAGACGAAGGGACAGCCAAGCCCAAAGCAACAGCCCTGCCAAATCACGTTCGTTCTCAGCTTGCAGTTCACCGTCGTCGAGTAACCGTCATCGTGTTAATAATGTACGCAAACAAGACACCACTACCACTTTATCTTACGAAGTTTTTGACATGTGGCCGGTCGACAACGCCACGCCGCCTTCGCCTTTCACAGTCACTGTTGACGTTTGCAGCAAGCCACTCCGCATGGAAGTGGACATGAGGGCAAAGGTCTATGTCATGGCCAAGTCGCGTCTTCTTCAGCTATTGCCTTCGGTTCCTGAGCAGCCGTCACAAGTGCTTCTGCGAAGCTATTTCGGGGAACTAAGGAAGGTTCAGGGCAAAGCTGACGTCAGCGTGAAGTTTCATGGCAAGGAGGCCAACCTACCTATTTTTGTGACCAGAGACCAATAGCCCACTCTTCTTGGACGCAACTGGATGCGTGAGCTGGGCATCGGCATCTCTGACGTTGAAGTGAACATCCACGCACTTTCCGGCGTCAAACACCTAGTCCAAGACTACGCCGAAGTGTTTGAAGAAGGCCTGGGTACATTCAAGGGAGCTAAGGCTTCTCTACATGTTCCCTCATATGCTCCGCCCCGGTTCTTCAAGCCACGTCCACTGCCGTATGCCTTGACAGATGAAGTAACTCAAGAAATCCATAGACTAAGAAGAGATTCCATTCTTGTTCTAGTCAAGACAGCAAAGTGGGCTGCACGTGTTGTTCCTGCGACCAAAAGGAATGGACGCATC